ATTTTATTTTATTTTATTTTATTTATTTTGAGACAGGATTGTGATATATAGGCCAGGCTGGCTTCACACTCAGTGATCCCTATCTCGGGTTCCCAGAGTACTGGGTATTCCTGACTCCTTTTTTTTGTTTTGAACAAATGGAGGTTATGAGCAGAATATATTTATTGAGGGAAAGAAAGCTCCTGTCCAAGAGAGGGACAGGAGGGGGCCCGAGCGGGTAGTTCCCCGGGAAGCTGTCTCTTAAAAATATGGACCGCTTCACTAATTTGCGTGTCACCCTTGCACAGGGGCCATGCTAATCTTCTCTGTATCATGCCAATTTTAGTATATGTGCCGCCGAAGTGAGCGCTGTTCCTGACTCCTAATGAAGCACTTCAGACCCCTGAGTTAGGGAGCTGGTTTCTGTTTGGTTTGTTAGTTTGGTTTAATTTATTTTTTGAGACAGGTCTGACTGTATATCCAGTCTAGTCTCAAACTCTTATTTATTTACTTATTTATGTTTGTTTGCATGTTTGGGAGGGATTGTTTGTTTCTTTTTTGTTGGAGACAGGGTCTTGCTATGTAGCCCAGGCTGGCCTTAAAGTCATGGTGATCCTCCTGCCTCAGCCACCTGAGTACTGGGATCACAGGTGTGCACCACCACGGCAGGCGATTTGCTTGATTTTTGAGACAGGGTCTCCTTACACAGTTTAGGCTATCCTTGAACGTGCAGTGATCCTCCTGCCTCAGCCTCCTGCATGCTGGGATCACAGGCGTGCACACCCATGCTCAGCTCTCAGACTGTATATAACCCATGCTGTCTTCTAAGTCCCCTTGCCTTAGCCTTCCCGAGGCTGGGGTCACAGGCATGCGCCCTACACTCAGCTTCTCAAGCTTCATGGAGCTGGCTAGTGATGCTCCGTCCTCCATCTTCTCCTTACCCTACCTCCTGTTATTCCATTCTCACTCTCACACTGCATTTATGAGCATTTACACGATCAGATCTTTGTTTCCTGACTCCCTCTTCCCTTTCCGAAGAACCCAACATTTACCACCAAGGGCGGACCCCTGAGCCACGCGGCGGCGGCACCCTGCTGGAACCTTTCCTCTGATCTCAGCCTCCGCGGTTCCCTCCTCCCTGTGCAGGCTGGCGTCAGCCTTTTCCTTTCCTCTTAGCCTGTCTTGCCCTGAGAACATCGCCACCTGTAGTTTCCAGATCTAACTGGACATCAGAGTCCCCTGAGGAGCTGGCACAGAAACAGATGCTTAGCCGCATCCCCGACTCTAGCCCAGATGAGGAGGGGGTGTCGCCCCACACGAGGCACAAGCTGTGCTCTGCTGTCACTAGGTCAGATGGCACCCGCATGGGCAGGGGAGAACAGGGGAGGCGACAGAAGCAGATCTCTTCCTGTGGGACTGCTGGGACTTGAGCGCCAGGCGCTTCGCTAACCTCTCAGAAGAAGCCAGCTGTCTGTGCCCACCGCCCATGACCCAAACTGGGGCCTGCTCTCTGGTTCCCCACGCGAGGGTCCATCTGCACTCAGCACCGTGTCTTGCACTGTCTCTCGTCGTGGTTTGCAGGTACCACCGCCCCACCACCTCCCTGGGGAAGGTGAGGAGCCTTCCTCTGCCGTTGGTGTTCTTACTGAATGCTGTTCCCTGTCTGAACACTTCTGGGCCTGAATCCCCTCCTAGTGGCCATTCCCGGCACCCTTGCCCATGTCAACCCCTCACATCCCTGCACCAGCCGGTGCCTGCGGGGAGTCTGCGGTTGGGAGCTCTCACAATCTCCAGATCCCCCTGCACCCTCCCCTGCACAGAGTACTAGAGCGCCTAAAACCCAGCCCAGGAGGAGCGCAGGGAGGGGACTCACCTCCAGAAACGCCTTGTGGAAGGCTTCAGAGACATAGAGGTCCTGGCCCTCGGCGGTGATTCCTAGGGGAACAGAAGGGGCACTGAGAACGCAAGAGTCTGGCTTACCCTCCCCCGGGGAAATCAGTTTGAATTAGGTCCTTGGGGGCTTTTTTAAAAAGTAGAAATAAATCTTGGAACTTCACCTAATGATATCCCCACAATAAACATGTGAAGAATAACAAAGAACTTTGGGGGCCAATGAAACAAGGTCATGAGTTCCATTCCTAGTACATAAAAAAAGGAGCTTTGGGCTTGTTCATTGCGGCTGTTGTGGACTTAATCTCACACTTTAGCTCTTTGGGGTAGGGGTAGGGGTTGGAGTAGTATTGCATTCTTAAAGAAAAGCCTCACCCCTTGGAAGGAGAGCTTGCTTTCTTATCTGGCAAAAAAGACTCCCCCCACCCCACCCCAGCACTGGAATTGGAAAGAGGCCCTCAGACAAGTAGACGAGTATGCTGCCCTGAGCTACAGCCTCTGCCCTTTTTGAGATGGGGCCTCCCTCTCGAACTTTCCCAGGTGGGCCTGCAGCCTGGGCCCTCCTCCAGCAGCCTCACGGGAGCTAGGATTGTGGGCGTGCACCAGCGTGCCCAGCCGCTTTTCAGAGCTAGTTTAAAGACATCCCAGGGGCTGGTGAGATGGCTCAGTGGTCTAGGGCACCTCCTTAGAACAAGCTAAGCTTAGCAAAGCACAGGGACCACGGTTCAATCCCCCAGCACCACATGCCAGCCAGCCCCGCCCCCTGGTGGGCTGAGCTGGCCACACACACAAAATAA